GTAGCCTTGTTTAGGGCTCTGTAATCTACGCAAAACTTCCATCCCCTATCTTTTTTCTTCACAAACAGCACTGGACTGGAAAAGGGGCAGATGCTGGTTTGAACTATTCCTGTCTCCAACATGTCCGCCACCAAATGCTCAATCTCTGCCTTCTGCGCATGAGGATAGCGATACGGTCTAACATTAGTTGGTTCAGTCCCTGGCTTCAATGTGATGGCGTGTTCATGGCCTGTTGGGGAAGGCAATCCAACCGGTATCTCAAACACCGCTTTATTAGTATCCAGAATTTTCTGGATAGGTTCTGGAATGCTCCGTTCGAGCTTAGATTCTTTTACCTGAATGGCACTAAGTTCCACCATCAATCCATCTCCCTCCTTCTGTATAGTTTTTAGCATCAATTTCAGGGAAACTAAGGATTTGCGTAACCCTTCATCCCGTTTCAAAGTCATTGTTTGATCCCCCATAGGTATTTTCATCATCAACTGCTTCCAATTCACTTGAACCATGCCAGAGTACTCAGCCATTGCATCCCCTGAATTATGTCAGAACTACTCAAGTCCAATGGTAGATACTCATCAACAACTACCACGGTTTGCATGTAGAGCACCACTCCTTTACAAATCCCTTTTCCCTTAGCAGCCATTCCCAAACCAACATGCACCCCATACCCATTGGTTTTAGTGATGGGTAATTTCAATTTCCGAACCAACTCCATAGAGATGAAATTATGGGTTGCCCTTGAGTCTATCAGCACCACTACCTCCTGTCCATTGAGTGTACCTCTCACCTTCATTGTCTTGGGAGATGTTAAACCAACTACTGAATTCATGGATAGCTTGACCCCCTCCAGCTCTTTTCTCTCTATTTCTCCTCCATATAGTCCTCCTTGTCACCCTCCTCAATGTCTTCATCAACTAGTAACACATGCAACTCTTTGTTGTGACACTGATGCCCGATAGTGTACTTCTCATCACGCCGAAAACACAATCCCTTATCCTTTTTTGCCCGTATTTCTACCTGTGTCAACTTTTTAAATCCTGGGTTTGTATTTGTAGAGGGTACTCCTGCCTTTTCCATTGGAATATTCCCTCTAGGAGGATTCCACTGAATAGTCCGATTCTCCACTCTAGCAGGAGGAGTATAGGTCGAACCTTTATAACGTGGGCACTCCTTCTCGCGGGCTTTACTGATTCACACATTCCTATCCTCGATCCTTTGTGCCATATCCATGATATGAGACAGCCCCTTTAGGTTAGCCATCAACACCTTTGCTTGCAGCTCATCCTCTAGCCCATTAATAAAGACCCCTTCTAATGTCTCCTCATTCACACTCTTAAGCGGTGCTGCCATGATCTCAAAATTTTCATGGAATTCTGCTACTGTCCCTGTTTGTCGGATTGCCAAAAATTGCTGGTACAAAGTGCCATATTGAGTGTCCCTGAATCTTTCCAATAATCGTTGTTTCAGATCCTCCCAATTGCGCAGAGGCCGTCTCCCATCCTCCCATTGAAACCACGAGAGAGCACTGCCCTCCATACACACACCAGCAGCCACAGCCCGCTCAACATCATTCAGTTTATTCATGCTGAAGTACCTTTCGGCCCTGAAAATCCGTGAATTCGGATCTATCCCATTGAATAAGGGTAGCTCCAGTTTACGATAGTGGCCTTCCTTGATTTCAAGGCTTTGCTTATCCACTCCCATCTTCTCTGACTCGGTTTGCTCAACAGCAGTGGTCGATGATTTAACCCTACTCCCTTCTCCTACTTAGAGCAGCGGGTCTAACGACAAATTCCTTATCATCTTCGCTATTGTCTGCAACCTATCGTTCAGTTCCCTTCGACCCTTCGACCCATCGCCAAACTCGCTTCTAATTTATCGTTCATCTTTTCCAACTCTCTCCCCAATCTCGCATTCAGTTGCTCCACATTTCCCTGCTATTCTAGCGCTGACTTTCCCAATGTCGGAATTTGAGAAATCGAAGCTTCTAGTGTTTCGACTCTTGTATCCATTCTCGTCACTGGCATGGTCCACCCAGGGATTGACTGCTCTGATACCAAATGATAGAAGCTGATTGATTATCTTGCACTTGGATACTCGGTTCAACTTCAAACTTAGAAGAACAGTGAAAATAGACTCAGGATTTTATGGAAGAAAATGAATGTGGACGGAAATTAACATGAACTTCATAAACTCAACAATTACAGAAATGAATTGACACAAATTAAAGCTAGAATGGCAAATTTTGAGAGTTGCCCTTCTCCCCACTGATTCACGGATTTTTCCCACCCCGTGAATGAATTTCTTCATTCCGTCTCTGCCCTTTTATTCTCTTCTAACCAACTAACTCCCTTCCCAAAACAACTGAATTAGTTACAATAACAAATCCTAGCCAATTGCCTTCTTGTGACGCCTCTCATATGTAAAACGTATGGGTGGCCTATCACAGCCTTTCTGAAAGCATGACTTACTCGAGGTTTTCTAATACAAGGAAAATCAAATTGACTTGAACAAGGATTCTTACTTATCTTAGAAATTGGTTGGCATAGTCAAGTCAACTTGTTGAATAGCATTGTTCTTCATTAAATGGTATCCTTCACATGAACCATTCCTTTCTTTTAATAGAACACTCCTCTACCATAACAGAACTCCAATCCTTTTTTATGTGATCAAGAAAGCTGATAATAAATAAACTGAGGGCTTGTAACAACCACATTTGGTATTAACAACCCTTAAAACCGGTTGGTAGGGGAAGATTCCTAATTGGCTATAAACTCACAAACCAAGCCTTAGCCTAGTTACATAGCATTGAATTAGGGTCATTACGTCCTCAGAATTGATGTCCATGACGACCCATTTCCTTCCTAGCTAGGTGACTTTTACTGAAAGTAGTCGTCATCAGGCCGCCCCTTCTGCAACGAGGGTCACCTCATAAGAGTACCTGCTTTTATGTACCAATTGTCCCCAATAACAAGAAATATAAAGTAAGACAAATCGAATAAATGGACACTGATGCAGACACGATGTTGAACGGACATGTGGACGTGATTTTTCAAGAAAGAAAGACATGAGACATCATAAAATTAACATTGAAATTACTTTTTTTCACTTTATTTTATTTTATTTTATTTATTGATTTTGTTGTTGTTATTATTGTTATTTTTATTATTATTATTTTTATAGTGTAAAGCAAATACAATGTTGTATACTTGTTGCATGAAAGTGTATATAACATATATAAAACTAACTTAACCCTAAGTTGTCTCTCGTTTCATGAAGGTCAACAAAATATAATTTAAATAAATTGTCATTCATCTTCAGTTGTCTCTCCAACATCTTCATCTCCATCACAAGTAAATGCTATCTTGAGATTAGAGAATTTTTTGCACTTTACTCATGCTCCATTGCCACTTCCAAGACTATTTAGTGATTGAGTTCAGCGGTTCCTTGTATAAAATTATTGGGACTCTAGAGATATAGAAATATGGAGAAGATAAAATTGTTTTAAGAATAGATTTACGTTCAATACTCTTAGGGGTTTTATCTTGGACACTTCTTTGCTCGTGAGAGCCTAGAGACCATCTTCCCTCTGCTCTTCCACCTACCCTAGCACCATCTCCTCTTCCACCACGCAATTTTGTTGTCTTCGACTTTCCATTGTATCGCAATGCAGGGAAAGTATCTTTTCCAGGTTGCTTTCTCTTTTGCTGTCTTCAACCTTGTTGTCCAGTTCTTTTGGGGTTGGGGGGTGACTCTTGGCATTTCCAATATGTTGATAAGTGCTGGACACCCAAGACGCTCCTTCCTAGAAATAAACATTATTTTAGGAAATATAAGACCTAAGACGAATTCTCCTTAAAGTCAATCTTTTTATTTGCATCATGCATCAATTGGTTGATTATACCTAGAGAGACCCTTCTGTTACTTGTTTACAGTCCAGATATCGTAGTGTTCAAATATGCATCAACATTTGGCGCGAAAATGTAACATGTAACCCTCCATAAGTAAGCTTGTTATTTAGCCCTCGTTTGGCCCCCTTTAATTCTCATCAATTTAAATTAAAATTTTCTCTCCTATTTACAGTCCACAATCTTCAATAAAATAATATTTCACGTAAATCGAATTTTTTAATTCTTTTACAACCATTCATTCATTCAAAAAAAAAAAAAAAAAGAAAAAAAAAAAAAAATGGAAAATTAAAAAAAAAAAAAAAAAAGAAAAAAAAAAAGAAAAAAAAAAAGAAAAAAAAAAAGAAAAAAAAAAAGAAAAAAAAAAAGAAAAAAAAAAAGAAAAAAAAAAAGAAAAAAAAAAAGAAAAAAAAAAAAAAATGGAAAATTAAAAAAAAAAAAAAAAAAGAAAAAAAAAAAGAAACTATTCCTCCCATTATAATTCATATTAATTGGGGCTAAACGGGGGCTTAAGTTATTACATTTACCTTTTGTATACACAAGCAGGAGAGGGAGAAGGCATGCTATTAAAATGTAAGCCTGTACATGTTAATAGGTTTGGTATTATAGATCCTTTGTCCAAGTAAACGTGTGATATTGGTTTAAACTGCTCGAGTCTCAGTGAGAGTATTGTACTCTGTGGACCTAATTATAGACAAGTCGAGAGAAGTGTGTCAATTTTATACTTCCTTGATTTTTAGTGAGAATCTGCAAGGGCGAGTGGACGTAGCTCTTATATTGAGGATGGAACAGTTTTAATCTGTGCATTCCTTTGTTTTCCCCCCTGAATCTGGCTTGCACATTGTTGCTCATGGAATTAGGCTAGGTTTAATCCATAAAATTGAGGACTGACCTTCACTTGCAATTCGTATCAAAGAATATGTATCTGTAGGGCTACAGTTTCATTGCAATAACATGTAGTGTCCCATCAGCATCTTTTCAAATGGCTTAATTATACAAATACAGAGTTGTTATTTGGTCGACTGAGACATTCAGTTGTTATATGGTTCAAAATGTACTTTCTGATTGACTTGATCTGTTACCTTATGACAGGGCATGGTGGAAGTGATGGACTGCACGCATACGTTCATTCTCTCGATGATGTTGTTGCTGATATGGTATGGTCTCAAGTCCATTAGAGTATGTACAGAAAAAAGAACTATTACATATTATAGGACTTAACTTATACTGTGCACAGAAAATGTTTCTCCACAAGGTTATAGATGAAAACCCAGCAATTCCATGTTTTTGCTTTGGACACTCGACTGGCGGCGCTATAGTCTTGAAGGTAATTTTGTGTCTCTTAATCTGTTCTTCTATATATCTTCTGATTATAAGATGATGTTTCTCGTGGATGCATAGGCAGTACTTGATCAAAAGGTGAGAGAACTTGTAGCAGGCATTGTAGTGACTTCGCCCGCTGTAGGAGTTCAACCTTCGCATCCGATCTTCACCGTAAGGATCTTCTTTAATGCCAGTCACTACTTTTTAGCAGGTTAAATACACCAGTGTCTTCACCATGAATGGCATTATTCGTTTCTGAATCAATGCCCCATTTGTAACAAAGTTTACATTCGATGACCAAGAATTGATGTCAGAGATCTGAATTGATTAAACTGTAGGTGCTTGCCCCAGTTTTTTCCTTCTTATTGCCAAGATTTCAATTCAGTCCCGCAGACAAGCGAGGTATTCTAGTTTCTAGGGATCCAGAGGCTCTAGTTGCCAAGTATTCAGACCCTTTAGTATACACAGGATTTATCAGAATAAGAACGGGATATGAAATTCTTCGACTCAGTGCCTACTTGCAGAAGAATTTGAGTAGGTTAACAGTATCATTTTTCGTGCTTCATGGCACTGCTGATTCAGTAACTGACCCTGAAGCCTCTCGAAAGCTCTACGAAGAGGCGTCTTCGACCGATAAAACGATCAAGCTCTATGAAGGGTTCTTGCACGACCTATTATTTGAACCTGAAAAAGAAGAAATCATTAAGACCATTATCACATGGTTGAATAGTAGATTATGAGGTCATGCAATGAAAAAAGGACTGCATAAAGTACAATACTGAGGTACTTATGACGGAATGGACGAATATGGTGGATCACAATAAAGTGGTACAAGGAACAGCTACGAAATGATTTAATGTTAGATTAATAGATCAAATGTTGTATACTCCATGGACGAGCACTTGATCGACTTTGGAGTAAAGAGGGCATGCAATATCTGTTTTGATAAATAAGATTTTTCACAGTGAATGGGAACAAACTTTACTGTCTGTTGAATCAGATTTATTTATTTTTATAAAAAGGAGTTTGTGTTGTTTGTCTAGAAAACTTACTTCTCCCAACTGTTTGATAGAGAAGAAACGAAAAGACTATTTCTCTTCGTTCATTCACCTTCTAATTTTACGAAGTTAATCCGTAGAATTATTTTCAGGCCTTCGTTATTATTGTTACAAAGAAAAAAAAAAAGTTTTAAGTTGGATTTTAAAAGACAAACGGACATTCTATCCATCAGCATTGGCCTTTTTTAAAGGTTGGACAGCCTTTAAATAGATAATTAATTCAATATAGTGATTCAAACGCGTCCTTTAGTAGGAGGGAATTGATGCTCATAAATCCGAGCTCACAGTTTGGATGACAACCCCCTCACATGTGGGGGGGTGGGGGGGGAGGTCAACAATTTTTTTATTAAGCGTTACTTCATGTGAGGGGCTGTACATGTACAGTTCGAATCGGACTGTACATGTAGCTTGGTCCTTAATAGGATTAGGCCAAGCGGGTTAGCTACATGTGTGAGTCGATTTGAATTGGTCCGTCCATTATTACACCCTAAATTTGACCTTTGGCTCATCAGTAGGATTTGTTACTTTTTATTTTATTGAAAAATTACTAAATCCACCCGAATTATCTAATATTACTTGGGGCAATCGGATACGTTAGACGGGACGTTCTTTTCATCGTGTTTAGAAAAAAAGCATGGATCATCTTAACTTAACACGTACACTTGACACTGAATTAATTGTGATAATATGTTGCATGTATAGGGCCAAAAAATATTTCTTATGATTTGGACTTTTGTTCTTTGGTCACTCCAAAGTCATCTTCTTTATTCAAAAAAGGTTAAACCCTAACCTTAGGGGTTCCTCATCATCTCTGCCCTGGAGTATCGTGAGGGAGGTAAATCACAGGTTATGCCTCTAAATGTATAGAGTGGAAGGCTGCTTGTACACTTGCACTTACCCAAGAGCCAAATCCATATTTCAGGATTCGAACCCTTGACGCAGCAGTCTCAAGCAAAGCTGGATTTTTCCACCCTCCCCTTTTACCACTTGGAGATGTGCCATGGGGGCATTTTCTTTATTCAATTACATAATTTGTAGTTCACGGCAACGTTTATCTAAGAAAAATGTATTGCACTAAGTAATCTAGCAATTTTATTTTTTAAAGAAAAAAGTAGTGCATAATTCTTCTTCTCAACGTCACAACACCAACCATCGAATTGAAAATTTGGCCATTAGCTGGCCATAAGATTTTATTAGTATCTAATAGAGGTTGTCATACAGTGGCCTGCACCCAAATTTGGCTCAATTCTAGGATAGTGACTTGCATACAAAATTACGATATGATTTAAAAATATTAAATAAATTTTATAACATGAAGAATATTATGCTATGATGTTATCCCTACCTATTATATTAAATAATCTAATCACGAGTGCCTTTCAGTAATCAAAACTTTAATTAAATATACATTTTGGGTCTTCAAGTTAAAGAAAATTTTGAGTTAGTCCTTATAGTTTAATGTCAAATCTTATGCGAGAATTGTTAACATTATATTTTAACTAGAATTAATCTCGTTGCTACACGAGCCTTAATAGTGCTAAAAATAGGACGACGATCTCTAAAGTCTGTTTTAGTCTATTTCAAATATTTTAATGCGTTAATGAAAAAGAAGTGAAAAGGGGTTTCATCACTTCATCGATATTTTGAGTATGTCAAGATGCCTTAGCCCATTTTTGCTTGCATTGCTCAGCCCTGAATCTCTCTCTTAACATAATTTCGCCCCATGACACAATCCTCTTTTAAGTAGGTATAGCAAACCAATATGCATCAAGCCACTCAGTTGATTGGAATGGAATTTGATGTGCCTAGTTTAGTTGGTGGAAGAAGGATTATCTAATTCGATCCATATGGGCCACTTGTTAGGCGATGAATTCTCTTCTATGAACATATCGCAACTGAATGATGAACTTTCTAGTTTTTGCCTCCAACCTGATTAATCATACGATATAGCCAAGCCCCTTTCTCATTTGAATTGAATTCATCTCCATTGTCTAGTCTAGAAGGGAGAGCCTAGGAGTTCCTAGCTTGTGCTTTTTCTATTACATTATAGTCCATCTCATCATGATCAATCCACTCCCTATCATAGTGTCCTAAGCAGCAGGATTACTTAACTTACAAAGCTAGCTTACTAAAGCTAAGGAAATTCCCATTGTCTGATACATGCTCTCTTCGATTTATTCATGGCTAGATCGACGAATTTGTGGTAAAATAACAAGAATCGGAAGATTAAACCACTGGAAAGCTCCTACACCTAATGAATTAAGCTAATGTTCCCATTTCCTCGAGGACCTATCATAGCATTTGAGTGAATGCTCTTACTAATCTAATAGGAAGTAAAGGCTCTAAGCTCAACTTATTTGATTGCATTGGATATCACGTTCTCTCGTGTTATCCCGAATAAAATAATGTAGATATAACTGAATTTTCTTCTCCCAGATAAGGGATGAAAGGTACATTAAAAAAAGAAAAAAAAAGGTAATAACATCCTCACGAATAAATCTCCCTGTCCCGGGTTGGGGATAGGGTTGAAGAGCTATTGGAGGGGTGCCGACCAGGGGCAGGCGCGCCTCCAATAGGGGGTGCCATGTGGTGCCCCTGTCCCTGACCCTGTCCTCAACCCGGGACAGGGAGCAGGGCTCTATCCTCACACAAGGAAAAGAAAAGTAAGGCTTAGAACCTTGTTTATGATAAGCAAATTGTGATCGAGAGCATCCACTACCAAGAATTGAATTTCAACCAAAAATGCTTTCGTGAGCAAAAGTAGGACCCTTGAATTTTTCTTATTAATAATTGATGGATAGGACAAAAGCCAAAATGATAGAGGGGTAAGTGGGTGAATCTACCAATGGTTGTTTTATGTTATCAACAAAGCAATTTATGCTCTTAGTTGATTTGAAGTCATGTACCGACCTCCAACTAGAAAAGAAAGTGAAACTCGTTCTTGAGACGTGTTTACCAAATGCTATATATGCTCAGATGGAGGGAAGGCAAGGAAACGTGATTGACGGCTTTCAAAGAGCTCTAAAAGAGATGCAAGGGATGCAGATGACAGTATAAAAGAATGCAAAATTTTGAGACATTCCATATTGTCAAGAACGAAGGGAAGCACTTCTGTACTCGATCGATGGTATGTTTCGTACTGTTGCATCGAAGATTACCCATGCGCTATATTTCAGTTCACTCATAAGGAAGATAGAGTAAGGGAAACGGTCTAGATGTAATACTCAAGTATGACACGTGGAAATACATGCTAACTATGGATAGAAAGTAGGAATCTTTATGTAAATAATTTCAAGGTGTTACAGATCTCTCGTCCCCATCATGAAAATCCCTTGTAGACGAACTAGAAGGGAACCGTAAAGAAACCAAGTGACAGATTTGCAATAAAATAAACCATAAGGACTAGAAATTTTGGAACCAAATCTTTATTTAACCCTCAAAACTATAATATACCTTTTCCATCGGTTTTGGGGTGGAATGGGGTAGGCCCAGGTTGGATTGGGGTTGTCATATACATTTTTTCCTTTTATTCAAATATTAAATGTAAAAGAGAAAAAGTGCTCTCCAAACACTGGACTTTTGATTGTGATTGGATAGAATCAGCCAATAGATTTTATTTAATTAGTTTAAGTGACAATTACTTAATTAATAGTTGCAATTAGGGGACCAATTTGATCTTAATTGTTATTTCCGCCTGGCCAATCAAATGCTTTAATTTAGAGGGCCAATCAAATGATGTGATTAAGAGAGTGACAAAACGATTGAAGTTGAAAAGAGCAATTTTAAACTATATCAGTTTACCTAATCTCTTACGTCATGTCGATAAGTCTTGCACCTAAGCATTGATTGGTTGAAATTATTATTTTATCTCGTTTTGAGTCAAATTAAGTTATAATTAAGTTATCGAGGTTTTTCTACACAGTTCAAAGTTTTGATATATTGAAGATAACATAAATTAGATCCTCAAAAGTCTTTGGCAAAATCTTTTTATATTTCCCAAATGATAGGGTCTCAAGATTTCTTATCTGCAGCAATGGCATTCCTCTTTGAATTTTTAAATTTTTTTTTTCTTTTTTTGGGTACTGAGAAGTCTCATCTAAAAATTGAAGAAGTTAAAGGAAAACCAAATGTTTGCATTTAAATTATTTCTTCTACACGTGCTTCCCTCTTGTAGGTTAGATTCATTTTCCTATCTAAGCATTGCATGAGTACAACTTCAAATTAATGAGTTGCATCTAAACTAAGCAATGATGCCTTATTAACCATCTAATCGAAAAATCAGTTGTTAGAGAAGAATTGCAATTTACTCATTTAGGTCATTTCCTCAACACATAAAAAAAAAAAAAAAGAATATGAAAAGTCTTTTTGGGTCGTTCAAAATTTCAAATATGTAAAGCACGTAAAAGTTTGATAAAAGCTAATGTCTCATAATATGCATAAGACACTAATAAAAGTAAACCTTACAAGCCCGTTTGACGACGAGAGAAAGTACAAAATCAATCATACCTTCAAAAGAAAAAAGAAACAAAAATGCTGTTTGTACAGCAATTTTCTTCACAGAATTTCTACAGACACTCACATAGATGGGTCTCATGGTGTAATTAAAAAAATACCAAAAAAACCACCCACCCACCTCCTTGTGAGTATTTTGTGGCCTTCATGTGAAAAATGCTGTTTGTACACACAACATTGTTGAAAAAGAAAATAGCATATAGGAAGTAAGTCAACTTACTTCTATATTGCTAGTTGATATAAAGATGCATTAAGATTTAAAAAAGTAGAAACAGTCCCAAGTACAATGGAAGAGAACAATACACCTTTATTGCAAATCACTAAGAATTAAGTTCTGTTTTCGTATTTTTTTTTTAATTTTTAATTTTCAAAAGAAAGGCAAAAAGGTTGAATATACAATTATAAATATGCGGGGTGGGGTAGGGTAGGGTGGGGTGAGGTGGGGGACCATAGTAGTAAAATAGAAATTAACAAGTCATAAGCTAACCCAGTTGCAGCCTAATTCCCTCTGCACAAATTATAAAAACCAAAGGCACTCTTTTCCCAAATGGAGATCATTTTTACTGAAGTTCTATTGTTTTCCCCAAATCTTCTTTATCTTTATTTCCCTATTTTTGTTGTTAAACTTCGTCAAGTCCCTCCTATGCTACTCGATCTTATTTCACGAATCCTTTTGCTTTTCTCCCGCTAATCTTGACATCTCTTTCGTCTTCCACTTATAAATAACAACACAAAAAGTGACATTGAAACCTCGCGATGGAAGTGGATTGAAGCTGAAGCGATCCTATTGATTTCCCCATCTCTACCCCACCAACACAACTCTGGTTTCCTTGTGTTGCTCAACTGAGCAGATTCTTTTTTCGTTATTTTTTTATTTTTTATTTTTTTCTCTCCCTGGCTTACTGATTTCAAGGTCATGTGGCCTAGCATGGCAGCTGGAAAGAGCCTTAGAAAGAGAATGAGCAACAATATATATGCTACACACTCTGAGGATTTGTCCGAAACAATGGTGGAAACTCAAATCTCAAATCGAGGATCTTTCAGTCCCAGAAAGTCTTTCATTGCTCAAGAAACTTTCAAGTGCGAGCTTTACCAATCAATTTCTTCCTCTATGCCCCAAATCATAGTATAACTTATTATACACTGTGTATTAGATTTCTTCTTCTTCTTCTTCTTTATTTTATTATTATTATTTTTTTTAATACCTTTTTACAACTTTTCCTATTAAAGAATACTAGTAAACATGGTTTCTTCTTTTCATTTTTCTACCACTAAAGGCTGTTTGTGAGTTCATGGAACGTTGGAGGCATCACACCACCAGATAACCTGAGCCTCGAGGATTTGCTCGACACACAAAACAGCATGGCAGATATATACGTTCTTGGGTAATTCTACTATATGAGTATATAAAACTGCAAAAAATTATCAGCATGCCTTAACAAATTTGAATGTAAAACAGTTGAATCAAATTATGTTGAAAAACAAGGCATACAAACTGTTTGCAGGTTCCAAGAAATTGTGCCCCTCAATGCAGGAAATATTTTGGGCTCGGAAAACAGCAATATTTCCAAGACATGGAATGCTCTCATAAAAGAAACTCTCAACAAGAGAATGGAAATAGAAGGCAGACTTCAGAATACAGAATTTGGAGAGACTCCAAGAGTTCATCCTATAAAGATGCACAACTCTACCAACTCAAGTGCTTCAGATTTCCAGTGCATAATAAGTAAACAACTGGTAGGAATATATATTACCATTTGGGTCCGAGCCGAGCTACATGAGCATATCAGTTATCCAAGTGTTTCCCGTGTAGGTTGCGGTCTCTTAGGACGCCTCGGAAACAAGGTAACACAAGTAGTATTAGTTCTAGTAAGAAAAAATCTGTCATTCTTTCAGTAAAAGAAACTATTAAAACCTTATAATAATGAGCAGTGCTGTGCACACAGCACTATGTACACCCCTCTCACAGTTCGGGGGGCTCACGTGCAATAAAAAATTTGCGGGCTCCCCCACTTGTGAGGGGGCTGTACAAGCAGCATTCCCGTATAATAATTGACAATATCAGAGAGGACATCTATTATCGTTGCAATTCTTAAATGTATAATGATACTTGATGAACAGGGTGCAGTTTCTGTCAGATTTTGGTTGTGGCAAACAAGCATCTGCTTTGTGTGTAGTCATTTAGCTTCAGGCGGAAAAGAAGGCGACGAGAAACAGAGAAATGCAGATGCAGCACGAATATTGTCACACACAATCTTCCCTACCAGCCCCCTCCAAAAGTTGCCAAGAAACATCCTAGACCACGAGTATGTGTACTAAATCTGTTCTATTCATCTTAAGAGGTCAGAAATGAACTTTATTTCCAACTTAATTACTCATAAAACGGGAAATTCTTATTACAATGTTGGTGTCTTGATACATATTGTCCTAACAATAGCCAGTGGGTTCTGATTTTCGTACAGTCGGGTGATTTGGCTAGGCGACTTGAACTACAGGATAAACCTGCCAGAGGCTACAACAAGAAACTTAGTAAAGAACAAGGAGTGGAGCATTTTATTACAAAATGATCAGGTAACTAAATACAGAAAAGAACACTTTCAAGATTTAAAAGACAAGAATCACATCAAAAACTGGATATAAGAAATAAAATAACTCAGTTATGTTATTTGAAATTAAAGCTGAAGACTGAGCTAGCAAAAGACCATGTCTTTGAGGGTTGGCATGAGGAGGAAATCAAGTTTGCTCCCACATATAAATACAATCAAAATTCTGATGATTATTATGGATGCAATAAAAGAATAAAAGAGAAAAAGAGGAGATCTCCTGCATGGTAAGTTGCTGCGGAATATGATTTCTTCATTCGCATTAGCAAACTGTACCTATAATTTGACGACGAAGAAAGTTATGCAGGTGCGATCGAATAATTTGGTTTGGCAACGGATTGAAGCAAATTCAATATAATAGAGGAGGGATGAGACTGTCGGATCACAGACCTGTCCAAGCTATTTTCATGGCAGAGGTCGATGTCTTGTCTAACAAATTTGATGATTTATGAAACTATTTCACATAATGCATTATTGATTAATTCCTAATTTACGACCATTTATGATTTCTGACGCCTCCCAAAAAGTTGGGAAAAAAAAATGATTGAGGAAAAAGAATATAACATTTGCGTCAGTCCCAATTCATATTCTGGCATACAGAGTAATCAAACTTCAATTTCTGGTAGCGAAGAGGTATTTTCAATTGGAAACTGCCCGAAAGAAATGATAAAGTACACTAAGGGTACATATTCAATTGAGATTTTGGGATTTAAAAGTTTAGGAGTATTCAATAGATTTTTCGTGACTCTCTAAAAATAACGATGTATTCAATTGAAACTTTTATAGTCACCATATATTCAATTAAAACTTTTTAAAAGTCTTTATAAGTTTTGGGATATTCAAATTTTAATGACTTCCAAAAACTTTTATAAAAGTCTCTGGGGGACTAACTTTTAAACAAAAAATACTCATAAGAAATCTCAAAATCTGCCTAATTAATCACAAGATTTTGAGAGACTTTTTAAAAAAAAAATGTATTTTTTTCCATATTTCTCTTTCATTTTTCCTTCTATGAATATTAAAGTTATGATGGAAATTTATTTTTTCTATTTATCTTTCTCTCCTTATTGTTTATATCTATTTTTTATGAAAAAATTAAATTAGATTCTTATAACTTTTTTTTTCATTCTTTTTTGTGAAAAAATATCTATTTTCTATTTAATTATAAAATTGTATATGGCAAATTTATAATTAAATTTAAATATATTGATTTTATTTATTTATTTTTAAAGGTATATTATATTAATAATATTAAATATTAAATTTATTTTATATATGAGTGTGTATATGTATATATATGTATGTATGATTTTGATTATTATTTATTTGATTAAGGTCTTAAATTTTTATTCTTTTTAAAATAACTTTTTGTTTTATGGGGAGAAGAAGGGGAAGGGAAATTGTTTCATATTATTATACCAGATTTATGTGAATTTTACTTCAAATGAAAGTTTCAAAAATCTTTTGAATTATATAAAAATTTTAAAATGAAAGTCTACAAAAGACTTCCACCAACTTCATACAAATTTACAAAAAAATTCATGAAATTTACGGAAGACATAGTCCACCAAAATTTTCAGAAGTCTCAATTGAATACACTTTGTATCTCTTTGATGGGGACCAAAAAATGTATAGTAGTACTTGTTCTGTTTCCATCTGAAAGGACTTCTTTGATATGAAAAGTGATGTTTGGGACCCATAAGTAAAGAGACACAGGTGCCAATGACCCCAAAAGGATGCAGACAACTACTGCAATTTTCCCAAAATAAAAATGCACTCAAATCACATGAAAGTTTGATACATTTTGGGCAAAGATGCACCAAGGGGAATATTTGTCCTTTCTGATTTTAATATAGATGAGTTCCTTGTACTTTTCTATATTTCTCTTTCCAAGTCAATTACCTAAAAAGGGTTGCAAAAAGTTAGGAACAAGCCTTGCTTCCCAAATATCAGATATAGATCTGCACAATGGGAATCCATCTCTATAGTCACCCCACCCCACTCAAAAAAAGGGAAGAAAGAAAAGCCATAAGACCAAAAGCCAAAGAACGGACCTCGTTTATGTCTTTATAACACAATACAAATTCTTTCCACAATGAAATAAATTAGTCACAGGCTATTATGAATACAGATGTAAGTGCCGAATGATATGCAATTTACATCTTGATGAATCTGCGTGAGACAAATTGGAAGTACACAAGTTACAAAAGGTTCATGTTAACTGGAAACAACAAGTATTTTAGAAGATCAATTCTCATCTGACCTTATAAACTATGGGAGTACCAGCTGAAATCCCAGGCCAGCGATTTTCATCTAAAAATACCAAGTGGTCTAGCTGTGAAGAAGAGAAACGACGTGTAGCTTAATTTGCTTTTTTCGCTTCAATTTGATTTTGTTGATGTGAAGCCTGTTGGGAAAATATCATCACCAAGGTAAAATGGAGAATAAACAAACAACCAGAATATTAAGAAGATGAAAGAAGAGAAGATGAAGAACAAAATGAATATGATGGCTCAAACACGTGATCGTTATTTTCAAACGATATTTGTCCCCTCTCATATATGATTTTGGTGCTTAAAGGGTCTCGTAACAAATCGTTTGTAGGATTAATCAAGCCTTGTAGAGAATCAATACTTAATCACTTGTATGAATTCTCCAAAACTTGAAGAACACAAAGGGAATATTGAATATGGATGAAAAAGACTTTGATTTCTTCTTTGTGGAATGAATATTATGATTGCAACTGTAATCAAGTGCTTTTCTTAATGTTTGTAATATTTTTTATTGATTATTCATCACTTATTTATGTGTCTCAATTAATATACCATGAAATGTTGTTAAAATATGTTGAAAAGTGGCAATTTTTAATTCAAAACAATCCCCAAGTTTCAAATTGGAAAACCAGCAAACAGTCATTTTTTAACACTATGCGTATGTATAATATAAATCTTGGGTACGCATAGTAGAAGCAAATTTGATTATGTTTTGGCCAAAACACATATCGTGTACGCACAAAAATAAGTCTATGCGCAAAAATCAAATTTCTCATTTTTCAATTTCTTTTGATTCTACTAATTCCACAATTAAGCTCGACAATTAGCCCATTATCATTCCATTGACTTTGAAAGAATATTCAACAAAGCCTGTATATATTATCTATAGCCACTTTTTTCCTGGTGCATATACTTGAGTATGTTCCTATTATATAAGAAGGAGAATGTGAAGTTACAGTAGAAATCAACATTAACTTATTCTATTTTGTCTCACTATAGCATTTTTTTTAAGTGGAGAAGCAAAAACGACGTCGTTTGCCTTGCTTGATATATATTTTATTATAAAGTAAAAAAAGGTAATCTAAATTTACTACAACACGCAACTTTTCATACCTCATGTAAAAAATTTAAAGTAATATTTAGATAAAAATTAAATATTAGCAATAGATTATAAAATTAAATATTGTTTGGAATTATTAAAAAATAAAAATACTAATAATATAAGACAGAAAATATTTTTAAGAAGTAAAAAGTTACTTGTGAGTAAAAAAAATTGAATAGAAAGGAATTATACAGAATTTTAAGTTGAAAAAAAATTATTTATGATGTAAAAAAAACAAAAACAAAAAAAAAAATTTAAATCTCTCCGTGCACGGACTTTGGAAACTCTTAGAAGAGTCTTTGTGTGCATGGAGACAAAAAGTCCGTCTCCATGCACGTTTCCATGTATGGAGACACTTTTATTTTTTTTATTAATTTAATTTTTTTTACAATATAAAATGATTTTTTAATTTAAAATTCTTTCTAATTCTTTTCTCTTCATAATATTTTATTATATAATGTACCTCTAAATTTACTGTAACACGCAATTTTTCATATCTCTCACCAAGTTAGTTTAAAATTTAAAGTAATATTTAGATATATTTAATTTTTTAAATTAAATATTAATAAAAAGATTATTATAAAATTAAATGTTGTTTGGAATTACTAAAAAATAAAAATACTAATAATAAGATAGAAAAAATTTCTATAAAATGTAAGAAGTTACTTGTAAGTAAAAAATTGAAGAGAAAAAAATTTTAAATTGAAAAAAAAATATTTATAATGTAAACAACACAAATATTCAAAAAAAAAAAACCTCTCTGTGTACAGAGACTTTTGCCTCCGTAAATGGAGTCCGTGCACCGAGATACCATTTTCTTTTTTTTAATATCTAGATAAGTTTTTTTTTTCAATTTAAAATTTTTTTTAATTCTTTTCTCTTTTTATAATAAAAATTAATTTTTCAATTTTCACTACCATATAAAAAAGTGAATGGGAAATCACTGTACTAATAAACTATTTTCACTCACTGTGGCCTTTTTTCCTTGATCTCCTTCCAAGTTAAAATTTTTTTTTATTTTGTTTTTACTTGTGCGTATGAATTTTATTTTTTAATTTTTCCTCCTGTCATGGACAAAACGACGTCGTTTTGTCTTAACTTATGGCAAAACGAAGAATCTGACATAGTAGATTTTCTCCATTTTTGCTCCTTCTCATCAACACATACTTCCCACTCTTCTCCCCTATCTCCTCAAATACTTGGTCTCTATAATGCTTGACCCTTGAAAAAATTCTTATTTTGAGTTCAATTTGAATTTTAGGTAATCTATAGTTAGATTCTTCAACCTTTCATTTTCTTTTTCGGTGTATTTCTATTTTGTGTATAAACTAATTTGTTTTATTTATTTTCAATTTTTTCCTTGGTATTTAGGATTTTAATATTTGAAGTTGATTTTTCCCAACGGGTAAGTTTGTTTGTTTGTTTGTTTGTTTGTTTTTTTTTTTTTTCGTTCTTTAGCTCTTTGTTTGTATTATTTTTTTAAATGATGGTTTATCTGGCTTCCAAACTGTTCTTCTTTGTTTTTTTTTAATTTACTGTTTAGATCTATTTTGGTTTTCTATTAGTTGACTACATATCTAGGGTTTTAACGTGTTATTTGTTGTTTGTAATTTTGTGTTATTTTCATTCTAGGTTAGAATTGAAGATTTAGGATTTCAATGTTCTTTTGTCTTTTTCTTCTTCATTGTTTCTTACGCTTATTGTCTTTTTTCTGAAATTTACTTTTTAAAGATGTTATTTTTGTTGTTGGTAACCTCAAGATTTACTATTCAAATGTGTTTTCTTACTGTTAAAATGTTGAAAGTTCAAAAATTATTTTTGATCGTCTATATTTGAGCTAAAAATCTTGGTTTTGAAGGTTTTTCTTTTCTCTTTGTTGAAGATTTACTATTCTAATTTGTTATTTGGTTAGTTATTAGTTGATATAAGTGTTCGAATGTGTTATTTAGTTCTCTATGAACTGTGTTGTTTCCAATTGAAGTTAAAGTTGAAGGTTTAGGATTTGAATGTCCTTGTGGCTTTATTTTTTTACACTTATTGTCTTTTCTAATTTTGATGTTGGTGACCTCAAGATTTAGTTTTTGAAGGCATTTTCTTGTTGTT